CGAAATTTTCGTATAGTGTTACCCGCCAACGGGTGACGCGACAAACTTAAATTCAGCCTTCTCGTACCTGCGGGTAACATGTACGGCCCCGCGAAAGTTTTTTACGGGTAAATTAATATCTCAGGGACCAAGGAGTCTAAGAGGCTGAAATTTCAGGATATTTATCTCCTGCCCGCGCTCAACCTTGCCCATTCAACTTCAGCGTTCCTGCGCTCTCGGGGTATCACCTACAGGTTAGTGAAAGTTTTCACGGATAAATTATCTCGGGAACCACGGGGTCTAGGAGGCTGAAATTTTAGCACAATGACCCCCTGCCTACGCTCTACATTGCCCATTCAAATTCAGCCTTCCCGTACCCGCGGGTAACACGTACGGCCCGTGAAACTTTTTTACGGGTAAATTAATATCTCAGGAACCATGGAGTCTAGGAGGCTAAAATTTTGGGGTAATGACCCATTGCCTACGCTCAACCTTGCCTTTTCAAATTCAGCGTTCCCGCGCTCTTGAGTATCAACTACAGCCTCGTGAAAATTTTGACGGGTAAACATTAACTCGGGATAAAAATATTCACTCTTCAAGGTTTCGAATTCAGCTTTCATGCGCTGGTGCGTGAAATTATTAACTATTTTCCAATTTTTGAACTATTTTTGCATAGACAAAAGTACAATGCAGTGAAAATCATTAATAGGCAATCGTTTGATGGGCTGAATTGCACAAAAAGCATGATCGCACCGGCTAGTCTGGTGCGCGTTGCTATTTATTTAAGACGAACCGATTTCAATGCACGTGATTCCAAGCGACCAAACGTCGGCACTCTGATCATAGTGTCCCTCGTCCATTGCGAGAATTACTTCGGGTGCCATCCAGTACGGCGTACCAACGAAACTCTGCGCAGGGCATGCGATTGAGGCGCTGCCGAAATCAGCTGAAAATACTGCTCCCTGAGAGGATTGGTCATATGCCAACGTGTTAATGCATGCACAGAAGCACAAAGTAATTTTCGATAGAAGCTTGCCAATTTTGACGATGCCACAATCGGTGAGAAGAATGTTGCCCGCTTTGACATCCCGGTGAATACGTCCCAGACTGTGTAGGTAGATGAGCCCGTGAAGTGTCTGCTCGATGATTGCAGCAATTTCGCATTCACGTATCGGACTGCGATGCACCTCGACAATATCCGCTGCCGATCCAATACAGTATTCCATCACTAACTGAAAATAAGCACTAAGCTGAGCACTGTGTGAAACAGATAATAAAAAACAAATATTTTATGGGAGCCCTCATTCTCTATGCGAAAAATAGGCACTCGAAAGTAACCACGAAATAGCCAAACACAAACAGCAAGACTGTCGATGGCTCGCAAGAGAAGAAAGCCAAAAGCGATTTTCTGACACAAATTTACCGCTGAAACGAATGAAAGGGTTGTGGGAATATTAGCTGCCCCATGCACTACATCGAACACACGCTTTTTCGCACAACACCGATATTATTTACTACTGTGTTATGCAAGGTAAACAAACTACCTCATAAAGGTTAAACAAAAAAAAAAAGACATATGATTTTATGAATTAACTGCAGCACTAAGCAAAAAATTAAGTTTTAAATGAGCAACTTTTACATAGAATTTTGCAGCATGTTTTGACTGTAGCATATTCCGACTCTGGTTAATAACTCAAATTTGAGAGGTAGCAGCAATCGGGTAAAGGTGATTTTAAACACATAACCGAGGACATATCGAAGCCGTTAGAACGTTGTAAAATGCATCTGTCGAGGCAGTAATCTGCTCTAGAGATGAAAAAACTACTGGGACCGCTAGCAGAATTACCCCCAGATGACATAAGACAACTGCTGTACTAGAAATAACACACGCTGCAGCTGATCCCAATGAATATGACCCTTTGTTGTTCGGTTGTTTTTTAAAAGAAAAAGCAGTGAGGAAATAATGAGTGATAACTTACCCAACACGTATGATCCTTCAGATAGCATGCCCGGTATTCCACGATATTCCTGTGCCTGATGTTTTTGAGAAAAGTCACCTCCTTGATGATATCGGACCATTTCTCGGCTGCCTGTTTCCCGGAAAATGCCATCTTCTTGATTGCAACCGTTGTATTTGTCTCGGTATCCTGCGCCTGAAACACCAATTTCCATTGCATAAAAAAGGCCCGAAAAAGAAGCCTCAAGGTACAGTTCCCTCTTGCTGGAGGCGCAGAACTGCTTCAACTGCTCATATTGGTCCCTTGAGAAGGACTTCGTTGGAAGGGCGGCGTTGAGGGACGGAGGGAGGGGGGAGGGGGTGGAAGGAGTAAGGGACGAGTGCCACCCACACATTATTATGCGTTTTGTGCTGTGTAACAGCAGTACAAAACGCATATTGTCACGGGGTTGTCTGTCCGTGTGTGTGTGTCCGCAGCAACTTGTCCGCAACTTTCAACCCAGGAACCACAAAAGCTTGGAAGCTGAAAATTTAGAGGAACGTTCCCCACCCACGTGTGACCCCGCAAGTTTAAATTCAGCTTCCCCGTACCAGCGGGTAACGCGTACGGCCCCGTGAAAGTTTTTTACGGGTAAGTTAATATCTCGGGAACTACGGAGTCTAGGAGGCTGAAATTTTACGGTAATGACCCCCTGCCCACGCTCAACCTTGCTCATTCAAATTCAACGTTCTTGCTCTCTCGGGTACCATCTACTGGCTAGTGAAAATTTTGGCGGGTAAACTATTAACTGGGGAAACACGGAAAGATATTCATCCTCCAAGATTTCGAATTCAGCTTTCATGCGCTGGTGTGTGAAATTTTTAACTGTTTTCCAATGTTTGAACTATTTTTGCATAGACTAAAGTACAAAACAATTAAAATCATTAATAGGCAATCGTTTGATGGGCTGAATTGCACAAAACGCATGATCGCATCGGCTAGTCTGGTGCGCGTTGCTATTTATTTTCTGTATCACCCCTAAAAGAAACACCAAAGGACTCTCTGTGGAGGAGTAATACTTCGGTTTTTTCAGCATATCGAGCACTTTACACCACAATCTATCTTGACTGCGTTATTTTCTGGGCCTGCCTGCTCTGGTCTGCACAGACAAATGGCAGTAATCTATCTGAGCAATACCGAGTATTTACAAATATTCACTAAAATGGCCATAAAGAACTTACGAAGAAGACAGCACCGAACGAGCCATGGCCAATTTCGCGCAAATCCTCGAAGCGCTGTTCAGGGTCCTTGACACAAAACAGTGATGCCACGGCAGGGTCTTTTAGGCTGCCGGGTTTACCGCTGGATGGATTTGGCATCACAACAGTAGCAGCTCATCCATCAGTGTGCAAAACTGACAGGAACAAACAGTGCGCCAAGCGAAGCGTGCCACACCGAAAATACAGCACTCCTGAAAACCAGAGACAATCATTCAAGGCTATAATATGTGTAAGTTAAACTTGGTGCGTCAAGTGGGCGAAGAAATTTTAACTGGGATTTGTTTGTTTCACAGTGGGAGCATGGTGAAAGGCGCACAGCGGACAAGCTGCTGGGTGGAACTTTGCAAGGATATTCTATTATTCACGTGTGATCTAGCTTCCGCTAGTGTCAGAATACTGAGCAGAGCTCTTCAACGATAAATTACAGAAGTGGAGAAACACACATGCACATCGAAAAATTTCAGTTGAAAGATTGCATCGCACATCTGTGAGGGCGAATATAAAGGCTTTAACATTGAAAGGGTGGTGCTAGTGATCGTAGAACGCCCGACACAACACAGTGCAGTGTTGGTGGAATGTCAAGACAGTGCAGTACCACACGGCGCTCTGGCAGTGGCACTGCTGAGCGAGGTAGTGGTGCTGCTAGCAAAGCAGTCTGGGGGAAGCTCCCAAGTGCGCCAGCAAGTGGTTCAGGTGACGAGATCGCCGAGAACACGCTGACCACCAGGTGATGCAGCACTGGTCAAAGCAACGGCACAAATCGCCAGCCAAAGAACAATGCTCGGTATGGCGTGTAATCCAGAAATCGAAGAACATAATGCTAATACGAAAGACCGAAATGCTAGGAATCGAAACGAAAACACGCAATTTCGGCTTTTTGTGTGTGTGTTTGTGCGTGTGTGTGTGTGTGTGTGTGT